ATAATTTCTGTTTCTTTTAACTTACACATTAAAAAACTGAAATTTGAAAAGTTCGAAACTTAGATATCAATATAAATACGAAAAAGTACATATACTCTATATACTCTACAATAAATAAAGCTTAATTACCACTGACTGACTGGCTCACTCACTCACTCCATGCTTTTTTCGGGTAGAAGGAGGGGGAAATGACATTTTCATGTATGGAGAGTGACAATATTTTTTTTAATCGAGTTGAAGGAGCGTATTCATACAGCCAAAAAACAAAATGGCGGCGAGATAATTTTTTTAGTTTCTACATTATTCACTCTACGGTTACGATATTCGAAATGGTCGTAGATTTGGCTAAAAAAATGAGACTGGAAAAAGGTTTGATTAAAAAAACAAAATGGCGGCGAAGATATTTTACCTGGAAAATTGACATTTTTCGAGCTCTGTTCGGGCGATCGTCAATTTTTTTCTTGTGGGTTTGGAGGGGGGATCTTTTCACTGGTGATTCGGAAATATAGTCGATTTTAACGTATGGGAAGTTTTTATTCGCGTGTCAACATGGCGGCGGCGGTGGCGGCCATTTTGTTTCGGCAATGAAAAATCGCCATTTTCCAGTGATATTTTTTCCAAGATGGCGGCGTCGGACGGATTCGCGTTCTATAGGCCGGTCGTGGGGCTCGGTAGGATCTTCCTACTTTACTACCGATTTCTACCATTTTCGTGGTAGTTTATGAGATTTTGGGAGAAAAGTAAAATTTGGATATACGCACTTTTCGCGGAAAACAGACTCGATGCAGTGTGGCGCCGGAGAAGCCCTATGACTTTTGGTAGTTTTCGTTTTTGCGAGCTGAAAACCCTGGGCTCCACGGTAGAAAACATTGTTTTCGACATGCCCTCATAACCCGAATTGTTTGGGAACCTGGGTGGCCAGCAAAGAAAATCTGTGAATGAGGTGGTACGCTAAATATAGTCGTGACTATGGGAAAATTATGAAACTCGGGAAAATCAATATGGCGGCGCCGGCAGCGGCCCGTTTGTGATTTTTTCACTTTTTCGAAAAATTCAAACGCACTTTTAGCCTACATGGCAACATTGTAGCTCTTCGCCTGGTATGGACCGATCGTGTATCACTGCTGGCTCTTTTGTAAGAGGTGAAAATTTTCCCCGATTTTAGGGTGATTTCGGAGATTTACCCCAAAAAGGTGAAAAGTAGAAGGAGCCTGGTAGATCGGTTAAGGAACTGTGACCAAATGTGATTACAAGTGTGCTATTTAGGTCTGAGGCTGAAATTTTAAAATTCTAGATGGCGGCTAAGACCGCGACCATTTTATCTAGAAAATGTATCATTTTTCACGGTTTTTACTTTATAGAACTGATTTTGGCGTTATAGATAACATTTTTCAGATTACTTACAGAAAAAAAATGTATTCAGTTGAAGTGTTGCCGGATGAAAAAAAAAACAGTTTTTTTTTTGATACTGTGATTTTTAGGAAATTTTCTATTGAATAAGAATAAAAGACTACAAGGCGATGTATACAACATTTATTTTAAGTTTTCTTACGTTTTTCAACTGAATATTTCTTTTTCTATTAAGCGTAAACTGGCAACCCTTTTTATTTGATGTATGGTTCTCAAACACCTTTCATTTGAAGATAGAACTTACTAACTTTTTGTAGGCAATTTCAAACTGTAAACCCAACATGATAAAAAAAGCGAAAAATATTAAAACCCGCTTTCGAGGCGGACCTGAAACCCCACCGCCCCGATTCCACCAGCTACTCGTTACCTCGAGGCAACCAAGCGAAAGCTAGTACTCTACAATAAATATCGATTATCAATATATCGGAAATTAACAATATCGCCGAAATAAATATAGATTTTTCATAGATCCGGAAATTCATGAGCCTGCGAAGTAGGCTTGGGAAAAAATAATCGATATATGAGAAATCGATATTTATTTCAACGATATTGTTAATTTTGATGTACTGATAAACGATATTTATTTTAGATTATAAAATGCGATATTTTATATGATGACTAAATATTTGGGGGTTGCTTACTGTGTTCAATTCGCCATATTCACCATTTCTTCTAATCTCAAATACCTCAACCTTGATTATAACACGGAAGGAGTCGTCTTTTCTTCACTTAGATAATTATAGTAATAATAACCTATCTTTATCCATAGAATTACCTGCTGAGTCTACTAATAATGCTTGTGACATTTCTTTTGTGAAGGTTACATCAGACGAGGTACATAAATTATTTAAAAACCTAAATCCTTATAAATCAGCGGGCCCCGATAAATTACCATCAAAATTTCTTATTGATCGTGCGCGGTCGCTCTCCAGGCCTGTAACGCTTTTATTTAAACAATCTCTTACTTCAAGTTACGTTCCGTCTATTTGGAAACAAGCATTTGTTACTCCTGTTCATAAAAAGGGCTCCAAATCAGTGTCGAACTATAGACCGATCTCTAAGTTATGTATATTGGCTAAAGTACTAGAAAAGATAGTCTACGATCGGGTATATCATTCCCTTATTCATAGTTTTAGTCCGTCGCAACATGGCTTTCTTAAAGGGCGCTCCACTGTATCCAATTTAATGTTATTAAATAATTTTCTTACAAAAGCAATGGATGAGGGTAGTCAAGTGGATGTTATTTACACTGACTACAGCAAAGCTCTTGATCGAATTCCGCATTCTATCCTTATCCATAAACTTAGGTTGATTGGTATTCACGGTGATCTATTACGATTACCTAACCTAGTAGGTGCCATCAGCCTTACTTAGTGGCATGTAAAATGCTAGATACTGTAAATGGAACAACGATATCACAATTTGTTCAAGATTCTTTAAACAATATGTGGGGAAGTTCATTTGAGAGCAAACTAGATAACGTTAGAATGTTATGTACAGACAGTGTGGCATACATGATATCAGCTGGTATAATTTTAAAATCATCTTTTCCAAAAATGTTGCATTTCACTGTTATGAAACTGTTATGGATGAAGCATTAAAAAAGGTATATAGCAAAGGCATACGATTAGTGATTGGGGGTGATTTTAACGTTGATTTATTAGGAAACTCCAATTCATGTACAAGACTTGTAAATCTATTTATGTCCTATAATCTTGCGCACATGTTTAAGGAGCCTACTAGAGTAACTGCTACTTCGTCCACATGTATTGACAACATTTTTACAGATCTGGTACCACTTTCAAAACAGATAATTTAACAACTACCGTCAGATCATTTTGGACAACTAGTTAGCTTTCCGCATAAATGTACGTTTGTGGCTAGGAGAGACATTACAGTTGTGTCAAAAAGTATGAGTCGCTTGGAACGTTTTAAAAATCAATTAGATAGTAAATTGTATCATTTGAAACATAATAGTAATCCCAATGATTTGTACAAAGATTTCTTTGATGTTTATTGTACAGAATTCAATAAGATTTTTGTCCCAAAAAAAAATAAGTATTAGTAATTCTATAACTATTTAGTGTGTGGGCTACACCAGGAATCTACAAAAGCAGAAAAAGACTCTATGAACTATATGATGAACGTAATTATAACACAAGTGAGGACTTCAAAGATTATGTACGAAATTACTCTAAATTATTTAAAAAAGTGTGTCGTTTAGCCAAATGTAATTATTTAAATGCAAAAATTGAAAATAGTAAAGACAAAGTTAAAATGACGTGGAATATCATAAATAGTGAAACTGGAAGAGAAAAATCTCGGAATATAAATTTTAATTTAAACATTGATAATAAAAAAGTAACATCAGATCTTGTAGTTGCTACAGTATTTGAAAATTTATTTACTGAAATTCCAGTCTTAATTACACAATCTTTGAATTCGTCTTCCACTGTTGCTGAATCTATTTTAAAGGCAAGTTTAAATAATTCTAATAGCCAATTTAAGTTTCAACACATTGATTTTAAAGATATAATAAAATCTTTTAATCAGCTAAAGAAAACGAAAACTGCTGACTTATGGGGTAATTCCATTGAAGTTTCTAAATCGGTAATTGAGACAATAGCTCCAATCTTAGCATATATATTTAATGAATGTACTGATTGTGGTATTTTTCCAGAGCTCATGAAATATAGTAAAATTATTCCTTTACATAAATCGGGTAGCACATCTGACCCTACTAACTTTAGACCTATATCCGTGCTACCTACGTTTAGTAAGATTTTTGAAAAAATCATGCTGGATCAAATACAAACGTACTTTTACAAGAATAAGCTTATGAATCGACAACAATTTGGTTTTACAAGGGGTCGCTCGACAACCGAAGCCGTTGTCGAGTTAATACAAGAAATTTTTAATGCCTGGGAGGATTCACATGATGCGTTAGGTGTTTTCTGTGACCTATCTAAGGCATTTGATTGTGTTTTTCATGAAACATTGATCAGGAAACTGCATTTTTATGGATTTAGAGATAACTCATTGTATTTTATTGTCTCATACTTGACTGACAGAGTACAGACGGTTGATATCAATGGCAAAAGATCCCCTGGATCGAAAATTAAGATGGGCGTTCCGCAGGGCTCAATACTTGGTCCTTTCTTGTTTTTGATTTACATAAATGACTTGCCTTATTTCGTAAGGGATGATCACGAAATATTTTTGTTTGCGGATGACACTTCACTCTTGTTTAAAATTAAGAGAGGGTTACCTCTAAATGACGATGTGAACAATTCTATCGCTAAAGTAGTACATTGGTAAAAAATTTCTTCCTACACTAATGACGAGGAGGAGGAAGTGTATAAATTTTCAATGTACAAATGGATTTTAAATGTTCGGAGAAATTCATTGAAGTCAAAAAATATTGAAAAGCTTATGATTATATATTTTAATTCTCACAAAAGTTATACAGTAATGTCGGAAGCGAACACTTCAAATCTTACTGGTAATCGATCGGACAAGGAAAATGATTCTGATGGGCCGTTTGAATAGGCAAAACCTCATGAGTCTAGGCTAGAAGCAAAAGTATTCGCTCGTATTTATAAAAAAGGCGAAATATGCGTATGAGAATTTGCTTAAGACTATCAATAATTTGTATTATAAATTAATGTAAACTAATAAAAATGTTATGTTAATTATCTTTGTTTTATTTGTCTATCTCTGACGTTGTTATTATTATTTAGTTGTAAGATTGTTGGCCACCCGGGAAGGTCCACATTAATATCAACATTTCGATGCAAGTACATAAATAACTCTACCTAATTCCGACCTTTGGTGATAACCCCAATTTCATATGTAAGGACCTAATATATCGATATGTATTTTTTATCGAATATATACTTTCCCTAGTCAAATGTCACCTAGAGTATTATTGTTCTGTGATGTCACCTGTGACCTGTCAATCGGCTAATCTGTCGGTTTTGGATTTGGTGTACAATAATATGTTATTATTGTTCAATAATTAAAGTAGAAAAATAATAACTATACTTTTGAGTGAGTGATCAAATTATATTTTTTATTGTAAAATTGTTGCTTTAATGATCCAAATGAATTAGAATAATAAAATGTTTGTTGATATTTTATTTGATGTATATTTATTATATATTTTTAACCAATAATTTAGGTGTTCATAAAAGACTAGTAAGGTAACAAAAGACCAATATGCACAATGTTGGAGGGTCTAGTGGCTTGGGTTCTAAACAATTACCTTGGAAAATATGTGGAGAACTTGAATACGGATCAGCTGAGTGTAGCTCTTTTATCTGGTTAGTATCAAATTTATCAGAAAAGTTAAAGATTGTTTACACAAAATTATTTATTACTTATAATAAAGCTTTTATGTTTTCTGTAAATAAAAATTCAGAAATATTCTTATTTCTTCAAATATTCTAGTTAATTTTAAAATAACTTAGTTTAATTATTCAGGCAAAGTAGAATTAGAAAATCTACCATTGAAAAAAGATGCATTACGTCATCTTGGACTGCCAGTCGAAGTCAAAACAGGCTTCATTGGTAAAGTGCAGCTGCAGGTGCCAGTTCGTCAGATACGCTCTGCTCCATGGTTGATAGCTATTGAAAAACTTTATGTTGTTGTTACCCCTGTCAATCTGGATGAGGTAAGTATATGTTATATTCAAGATGAGGTTTGTACTAATTATTATACTTAGTCTGGCCATAAATTCAGTTAAAATTTTAAATTTGGAATTTGGAATGCTACTATGCCATTTTATTTATTAAGAGTAACTCTTTGTAAAACAATAAGCGTTTTGTCATAAGTTATATATTTTTAAATCGAGTGGGGTGTTAAAGAAGATAGAATTGTTGTGATTGCACTGCAGAAGGTGGGAAGGGGGCTTTCAATGATTTATACTGCCCTTCAGAAGTTAGATATCAATCGGATGTTTGTGTATCGTACCATCAATAGGTTAGTAGAGATCTCCTTTTTTGATGACCACAACAGATCAGGCCATCCGCATATTGCTTGAACCACATTAATAGCCTATTAACGCACCCGAGCCAGAATTCAACGAAATCCCTTGAGAAAGCAGATTTTATCCCATGAAATGAAGATCAAGCCAATCAATCAATCCCGAATAATCAAAGATAACCTTAAACTTGGGGTATGCGGACATACCCTCAATTGAGCTTTAATGGCGAAAAGGGTCGAAAGATAAAAACAGTTGCTTGTTCGTTACGCAGGTGGAAAGCACAGGAACATTTTGTTTACTGATGAGAAAATTTTCAACATTGAATAACATTTCCAACAAGCAAAATAACCCTGTTTACACCCACAATTCTAAAGAAGCATCCCAAGTTGTAGAAAGTGTCCAGAGAGGCCACTACCTCATGTCAGTGATGGTTTGGTGGAGGGTGTCCTACCACGGTGTTACCAAGCTTCATTACTTTGAATAAAATTTTATGTAAAACAATTATTTTTAGAATTTTTCTTATGTACATAACACATACATTTATATATAACATAACACATACTAAAGAAAAAAAAATTAGTCTATTCTCATTTGTGACAGTATTTATGGCAGGACTAGATATTTGATAAATTTTTGCAATTTTATACTGAAAAATTTTAATATTGAACAAATATATTTCTTTCAGTTGTTTAATAAAAAATATGCTCTGTGGTAGCAAAAAAATAACAAGTGCTTAAAAAATTAGTCAGTCCTGTAGGGTCCTGGATAGCTCAGTGGTTAGAGCAGTCGCCCAATTGTGTAAGGTCATCATAAGTTCAAGTCCCATCTCAGAGTGCCAGGGACAAAGTGGATTCTTTTAACATTTTTTACTAACAATATTTATTAATGCCAAATTGATAAATATAATGGCATAAAATAGATAAAATCAAATATGTAAATAATATAATTTATATTGTAGGACTAGTATTATAATATCCGAATGATGATATCACCTTTAATAAAAAAAAAAAAAATGCTATCCTAACATATTTAAAAAATGTTTAGCCAGAAAGACTGCTTTTAGTGTTGATAAATGGGGCAATTACAATTGCAAAGGTGATCTTTATTAATTCTTTTTAAATGCATAGTATATAGTATCATAATGTTTTTAGTGGGATAGTGAAGTAGAAGCGAACATCGCTCATGAGCGGAAGGTGGCGTTACTAGATGCACTAGAAGCACAATGGCGGGCCGACCACGAAGCTTGCGATGCTGGATATTACGCCACCTCTTACTCCTCCTGGCTCAGCTATGGCACAGGCCTACTCGCCAACATTGTCGAGAATTTGCAGGTAATATTACAATTATTACTATAACTAAACACACTCCAGCAAGAACCCATTGTACATGAAGTTTAATAATAGGGTATATATCTAAAACGAACAAGTTATAACAATCTTACATACTAATATAAACAACTATAAGCTACGCTTTGAAAATATTCTTAAATCTTTTTTTGAAAGATAGTATTCATTAATTATGTCATGATTATTTATACATTTAGCAAGTGTAATTGTGTAAACAGATGGCATACTATAACTTGTGAACTGACTTTGTATAACGAAATTGTTATAAATGGCTTATAAGTTAACTATTTATGAATAATTATTTCCTTGAGTTTCATACAAAGGAATAAATCAAATCAAAATTATTTATTCAGTTGAGGCTGTTACAAGCACTTGTGAAAGTCGAGAGTAAAAACTCCAATATGGTCTATTAAAGCTAATGTGTGTGCATTAGAGAATTGAAATTGAAGAATTTCAATAAATATGGCTGCATTTGCAGTCGTTAATACCCTCCAATCTGTATTGGGCCAGCGTGGAGGGTCATGGCCCATCCTCCTTAACCATCCATAACGAAGGCCTGAGCCCCTGCAGTGGGGACGTAAAAAGGGCTGGTGATAAATAAATAAATGATTCACAATTTTTATGGGATTGGATTTAATTTCATCCCTAGGCAAGGCGTGAGCATCAGCAGGGGGAGGGGGGGGCATGGACGGGCAGCTGATTATGATGATAAATGATAAAACAAAAATTGGTTACATATCAGACATTTTCATAGATCAAAGGACTCTTTAACACTGGCATCATTTCAATGAACGAGTTTTTTTTTGTAGCTAAAACTATACGACGTGCACATACGTTACGAGGACGCGTTGACGTGCGCGCCGTGCGCATTCGCGTGCGGCCTCACGGTGGAGGCGCTCACCGCGGAGTCGTGCGACGAACGGTGGCGGCGCGGCTTCACGCTGCTGAGCGACACCGACGGATGCTCCTTCAAGCTGCTGGAGCTCCAGCGGCTCGCCGTCTACTGGGATCCCGTCGAGGTGCCCGGGGGCATGTACGCGGGCTGCGTCGTTCCAGAATTGACGGTGAGCCGTTTTTAGATTAAAGTCAAGGTTCCCTTTATTTAGGTCGATTTCTCTTTTATCGTTGTGACCTATAGTAATAGTAATAGTAATAATAGTAATCGTTTATTTGCTATTAAATGAGGTATTATAAAAGATGGAAAGAAAATTACAGTTCAGCTCACTTAGCTATTACACTAGCATGCAAATACCATATTAATTAATTTTAATTTAATTATTACATTCAAAGTACAGGCAATTAAAATAATTATTATTTAGGACTAAATCATTATTATAACCATTAAAAAATGTCAGAAAATAAAAACCTATTTTTGTGGAAATCATTCCTATAAGATTTTTTTAGTATTTAAGATATAACGTTCCATTCATTTTCTTCTGCTTCTTTTTACCGGGTCAGTCTGCGTTTTGCAAAACACTGCCGACTCTCATTTATGTCATGTCGACCGTCGATGTTGCGTTTCGTCTTTCTCGGCACGACGGTCAAGAGATTTAGGCAACATTAGAATCGTCCCTCGTCCTCGCCTACCATACAATTATACAGACGATAATGTCGCGTGTGTCGGGCAGGAGCGCATGGGCGGCAGCTGGCGCGCGCCGCACCGCTACGTGGTGGCGCCGGCGGGGGCGCGCGCGCGCGTGCGGCGCGAGCGCACGGGGCAGCCGCTGCGCTCGCGCACGCGCCCGCGCCTCGCCTGCCATCTCGCGCTCGACGCCGTCACGCTCAACCTGGCGTCGGTCCGTACATTCATTTGTTATGCACACCCGAAGCACGTGTTGTTCATTACATATTTACCGAATTGGTGTTCAAGTCTAAAATTAATTGTGTGACTTGCTCAACTGAAACCGAACTGTGAGTCAGTTCCAGTTTACATTGGCGTTTGAAATTAATTAGAATTACAGTAATTTATATATATATCATGTGTTTTTAATATATCATGTGGAAAAACTCAAATTACTATTTTTTTATCCATTTCGGTATAATCGTTTCCAGTTCAGAATTGAGTTTCTCGAACATAGAATCGCCTTCTATCGCCGTTAACGAACAGTTTATATAATTATATATTTTTTTATAGAAAGAGGTTGTGATATACGCTAAAAATAAAAGATATAAAACGATGACGTGTGTTATGGTGCAGTGGCAGTACGACGGCCTGGTGGGGTGCGCGGCGGGCCTGGCCCGCATCGCGCGCGTGCGCGAGTACCGCGCGCTCCGCCCCGCCGCGCCCGTCCGCGGCCACGCGCGCCGCTGGTGGCTGTACGCGCTCTCCTGCCACGTGCGCGAACATCCATGTCGGTATACTCGTCCTTGGACGGTTCCATAGTGACGTACGATCGATTGACCCGCACGTGTCACAAATTAGCCCAGTGTGAGCGAGACGGACATCTGATTTATATATGTATTTATTCATTGTTTATTGCCTAACTAAGGACAAATGGCGGACTTAATGCCGTAGAGGCATTCTCCCCCAGTCAACCAGTAAGATTGTACAGAACAGTAGTCTGAGGTGTTATATTCACATCTTATGTTTATTGAAACAGAGCTCATTTTAAACTTTAAACGTATATACATTCGTTCGTTGTCGACGGTGGTAGATGTGTCTCTGCGGAAATGATAATTCGCTATGCACCATATCGTGTAGTTGTACTTAATGGTCTACCGTAATTTTCGTGTGAAAGAAAAAGAAGGCGAGGAGTGACCTGCTAAAGATGGCAGAATGCTATATTTCGAATTTAAAATAAAATAAAAAAAGTAAACTAAAAATTATAATTTAAATTATGTTTTAGACTTTTATTTTTATTTCACCAGTTTGGTAAACTAAATGATTATTAAGGAATTGAATATTTTAAATTGTAATCAAATAGTTTTATGTAAATTTTATATTTTATTTACTCTACGTCAATTTTGATTTAAAATGTCATATCCCTAGTCCATTGACGTCACGGCAAGCGCTCCAATAGAGTATTCTACTTTGAAATAATACTCATTAGTTTTTATTTTCATAAAAAAAAAACATAAAACATATTAATGAATAAGAAAAATAAATACGTTAAATACCTTAAAATTATATCAAAATATAAACTTTTTTTATACCCGCGAAAATGCTGTCCGTCATATTCATGACGTCATTCTGATATGTACACAAATCGGATGCTAATTTTCTACTCTATGTAGAAAATTAAAAGATGTCAATAAAACAAGAACAATGCCATCTAACGATCTATTAAAAAATAAAAAGTTAAATATAAGTTAAGAAAAACGCCATCTAGGAATTTGATTTATAATTAATATGTATATCTTTATAACTAATCTGACAGCATTCACCACAGTAACGTCACACAATGGCGGGTCGTATTTCAAGTCACGTGACACATAGTCAAAAAATCTCGACTTTTAATTTTTAGACAATAAGATAATCGTGTGATAGTCAAAATCTCTACGTTTATTACGATGTAAATTTTAGTTTTTGTACAATGTATGACTTATTTTTCACTATCGAAACTACCCTATTAAAGTATACCCTAAAATCAGTTACTAAATTTCATCGTTTATTTTTGTTACTAAATTTGAGTATTTGAACGCCAGGTATTTCTTCCATACGTGTAACGCGACATTAATCATCATACAAAAATAAAAAAAAAATTATGCGTATACCTTTTTAAGTTTTTATTTTTATTTATAATAATATCGAATAGCACTGTCGAATTACGGATGGTGATACGTAATTAGAACACATAGTGCCGAAAACTGAGTTACTTAATTACGAAATTTTACAACATCAGTAATAAAATAAAAGCACGCGACCGCTCGCAGCCCTATCAAGCCGGTACTGGCGAGACGACGGTGGTGTCCCTTATTGCTACGTATGCAAATTTACAAACGTAGAAGCTACAGTAGTGCAATTGCTAATGTGGCGTAGGGACGGAGCCTAAGCCGTCGTGGTCGTCGTGCGTGGAGCGCGCTCGCCAGACCCGCCGGTACGTGGACACGTGCGCGAGCATGCTCGCCAACCCCGCCGCCGCGCTGCCGCCCGACGATAAGCGGGCCAAGGACGAGTTCGAGTACGCCACGCCTCTGTATATACTCAAGGCACTGAGAGAGGTGACACATTATATATATTAATACCTTGTTAATGTGCCTAATAAGATTGTTATTGCCGTGCTACTAAATATTAGGCTTAAGAACGTGAAGGAAATTAGTAAATTTTATTTTTTTTACCGAGTGGTACACGTGAACATGTTCTTGAGGTTCCACTACGACAGCAGAAGTGCCACATTTTATTTAAATTGCTTTATATAATAATAATAATAATAAAACTTTATTTGCATTTCCAACAACACATTCAAATTATAGCTGTTTAAGATTAAATATACTAAAACAAACAAAACAAATAAACCAGAAAGCAACAGAAATAAAATTAAAAACAGAAATATGTCGGGTTGTGTGCCGCAGCATAAGACCTCAGTGCTCATAGATAGGGTCTTCTTTAGTATCAAATGTCACAAAGATGTTATAATATTCAGTTCAGTATTAAACCAAAATTACAATTTTGGTGTGCCTGGTTGGTCTTCCAATTCTACACTGTCTAATATTCTCGCTGTCAGTGATTTAGTCTCGATTTCTCGTTTTATCCGCTAGGCGGCAATGAGAAAAGTTCCAAAATCCACACCGGTGTCGACGCCGGAGAAGCCTGGTGGTTCCGGGCGCAGTATGCTGGTGCACTGGTTCCCGCAGTGGTGGGGGTGGTACGGCAACCCCGACGCCCCCGCCCCCGCTCCTGCGCCCTCCCCCTCCGCGCCCTCCCCCGCGCCCGCGCCCGAACTCGAGGAGGAGATTCTCGACGTGCTCGCCGACTCTATCGAGAATAACACGCTGCTCAAAAGGGACACCGTGTTCGGAAAGTTCGAATTCGAGCTATCGAAAGGCAGCCTCAACCTGTCCACCGAGGACGAAGCCGATCTCGAAGTCGAGTAAGTTTATTATTTCTTTAAAGTGAAAGCTCAACCGCGGGCACCACTTTATATCCAGGAATACGATTTTTTTAAACCGACTGATGAATTGAAACTTTTTGAGTGCGTTGCGAGAGGGGACGACGCCAATATAAACGAAAAAAAATGTGCCATCGGCTGAGGTACACCCCGAACGGTCGGGGTTCGGGAGCCAAAGAAGTCAGGGAACGCGCAATGTAAACATTCCAGCGCGGCCCCGGAGCGGGCGCCGGCGGGCGTGACGCTGCAGTACAGCGGCGTGCGCGCGTGCGTGGAGGCGCGCCCGCGCGGGGGCTCCCTGGCGCTGCGCCTGGCGCTGGGCGCCGTCAGCCTGCGCGAGCGCCTCACGCCGCGCACGCTCTACCCCGTGCTGGTGGCGCCGCAGGTACGCCGGTCTCATTCGCTCTTTTCATTATTAGCTCGACTAAACTAAAAACGTAATGTGATTACAGGGGATGATCCGCGAGGGCCTGAGCGGCCTGAACGCGGCGTGCGCGGGGCCCGCGCCCCCGCCGTCCCCCGCGCAGGAGCCGCTGTTCCAGCTCACGTACGAGAAGAAACCTTTCGGCGTCAACGTCGATTACAAGTCAGTCTCCGATAATTTAGTAGCCGTGCGACTGATCGCAGGGGCCGGCCGGCCCGAGAGTGAGCCGTCCGCGAAACTTAACGATCCGCGAGTTGACCGTAGACGAAAAAGAAATTATTTTATGTGTAATCCCCAGTGATCGGCATAGGTAGTGCTGTTTAGGGTGAATGACCTCACATATTTATGTTAACATGGACGTTCCATTGAAATTGAAGGTTAACTTATTTTATACATAAGTATGATGTTTCTACGAGTATTATTTGATAAAGCAATTTGATTAATCTGATAATTTTCAGAAACTGATACCAAACATTTTTTATACTTTGTTTTTCTATTATTATTTTTACATTTCTAATAGATCAAGTATCTGTAGCCCTTAAACAAGTGAGAACTAATTTTATGCCATTAAATATTTGCCATGACCCCCCCCCTCTCATAATTACGGGCTGAGGTGGCAACGGAATATCGGGTCACTTTTCTTTGAAAACTAAATATGTTTTATTTTTGTGGTATCCAAGTTAAATGACTTCACCAAAAACTGAACGATATAGCGCCCTAAAATCGGTTCTTTCATCTAATGAAATCCAAGAATTATCTAAATATTTTTTCTGAGGTTAGTATCACTTGGGAGAGTGGGACAATTTTCTCAAAAAGCTGTTTGATTTTTACTCCATAGAATATTGCATAATATAAGGAAATTAATAAGATCAAGAACAAAATCGTTTATAGTCTTCTTAGATATTCCGCCTGAGCTATTTAGTCCAACATAATAAAGGGATCTAAAATAAATCAAGAGCCCAAGAAATCGCACTGATACCCCCATATCAAAATATCACCTGAATGAAATCTGAATACCAAAGCGTTAAATAAGTATAACAGAAATAATAAAATTCGTAAAAAAAATACAACTTGATTTTAATCTTTCAGTGACCACTACTTACGTAGTCAGAACTTTATTTGTTAAAAATAGTAATGTTAAAAATAATGCAGCCATTTTAGATCGATCATTTTAATGTGTAGCAACAACAATAAGCTAACAATAGCAAGGAGATGTAAAAATGATTAAATTTATAAAGCATATATAGCTTTTCAGAGCATTACAAATAGGTAATTATACATAACGTCAGTTGTTTAAGGTTTGTTGAAAATAAATATAATATCATCGCGTCTGTCGGCCGCCATCTTGGCGTACAAGCCGTAATGTGGCGGCGTATCATTTTCAAAATTTGCAGATCACGCCTGTTTAGTTTTAAAAGCATATTTTATGCAACATATTGATATTTTTACTTATATTCGTAATTTATATAAATGTACTTGGTACTTGAGCCATATATGAACGAAACACTGCAGTGACGTTTTATTAAATTCTAAATTCAGTACGGTGAAAGTAATAAATGCGCCGTAAATTATTGATTTTTGAAAACACATCACAAACTAATATTTTTTTAATAATATCCAATGTTGCTAAATTATGCCATAACTTAACTAACAAATATTTAATAGCTAATCTTGTAATTGATGGTGATGTCACGAAGCAATAAAGCCAAACAACAGCAATTAAAAATCCAGTAAAACACGCCAAGCGATCGAAAGAAGATATACCAAAATCCGTAAAACAAGCTAGGTTCGTTGTCACTCAATTCAGTACCATTCAAAATAGAAACATACGTTGTACGTTTAATGAACCCAAGGTCAAGACTAAGCCGCTGGAGGGGAGGGATGTTCACTATATCGATATATGCACTAGCTTAATCGCTATAATCTAATCATCTAGTATCGATATATTGCATCCGATACGCCAAATATGGAAAAAAATTAAATGCATTTTTAAAATGCTTGTTTATTTAATCGGGATCAAATTTATGTTAGCAAGCCAAAACGAGAGTGGTGCTATGTTACAAAGTTATTATAGTGTACTCTTAGTCAATTACAACACATTGCCAATAAATAGTACAGGCGTAGCACATACAAAATTCCCGGGATATTGAAATGTCAGGGTATGTCCACTTTAACTAATAAATTTTAAATTTTACTAAAGACATAAAAAATCTCATTTAAAAATTGCGAGTCCCTTGACCGCAAACGTCTCTAGAAAAACCATGACGCCACTGTTTAAAATGACAGCACAGAATAACATTTGAATGACAACGTAATCGAGGAGTAAGGAGGCGAGGTCGGATCGGATCTTTGAGAACGGATATAAGCCTAGTGTTGTGTATCGGCAGAGTATGGGTGAAGTGCGCATCGCTGGAGGTGGTTTACTGCGCGGCGGCGGTACGGTGGGCGCAACACTTCGTGTGCGCGCCGTGGCACAAGTACGCCGCCGCCGCCAGTACCTCCCCCGCGCCCGCGCCCGCCCCCGTCCCCGCTGTCCGCCAGCACACGCGCGCCACGCTCTCCCGCCACTGGGCGCAAATGATGCGCGCCAACAATGTACGTACACCTGCCTCTTTTCTCCATCTGACCGTCTTTTCACCTCTCCGGTTCTTCATTTTACGACAATTTTCCCCGCATGATATTTCTGAGTTTAGTCATCTTCTATTATTTCCTTGTAAACATTTATTTCTGTAAGATCTTAGAAATTTTCACCTAAGTTTTCTAGTCGATTCTAATTATTTTTAATTATTTACCTGAGTTTTCTAGTCAGTTCATCGTTCGGGGGAAACCTTATTACGATTCTCGTTCGGTTTATGTCTATAAATCGATTCGAAATCAGCCCATCGATTCGGTAAAAATCCAAACCCGAATTCGAATTCACGCAGGTGTCCGCATTCACTTCAAAAGCGGTTCGCTTAACCTTGAATTGGTAATAAAGTTTCGTGGCATAAGTGAAGTGAGTTTCGAAATGACATAGGCATAGAATATCTGAGACACGTATATTCATTAATTTTTGGGTTTGTATTGTTATACAAAAAATAGAATCAATAGAATTTCTTTACTAAATTAATGACTTGGACTTGGATTTTTATAGAATCAATGTGAATCTCCGAGATGTGAATCCATTATTTTCAATAAAAGAACGTGAACGTTTAGAGCGAGCGTGCCTCGTGGCAAGTGGAGCTGGACATATCGGCGCCGCAGATCCTGTTCGTGCAGGACCTGTGCGACCGGGACGCGGCCGTGCTGCTCGTGGACTTCGGCCGCCTGCGCCTCGCCGACGCTCACGCGCCGCCCCCGCCCCCGACGCCGCCATCGCCCCCGCCCCCGCACGACTCCGCCCACACTGACGACGACGGTGACTATTCCAAAAATCACGTGATCGACAAAGTTAAATTTAACGTTGCTATTAAATGTATATATTATGCTGAGTAACAGCGATGCGGTGGTGTGTTATGTGTTAGAGATGTTTATGACGCCGTGTTCTACGCCGCCGGGCAGCCTGCTGTCGCCCTCCTCCCCGCCCGCGGCCCCCGCGCCCCCGCACTCGCATTCCCTCGACGCCGCGAGGATACACAGCAGCCTCTATGACAGGTTTTTATAATATCAGTCTGGAATTCTAACCTACTCATCGATCCAAATGTGTGATCGGATCTATTTTAATAGGGATGACGACTGAGTTAAAAATATTTGATACCAATGTTTTTTTACTTCGATTTAACAAGAAATAGCGAAGATTACAGTCATTAAAGTTTTGTAGAAAATATACCAGCGCGTGACGTCATGTAACTCAATCTATAGCCATAATTTAAATTGTTATATTTCACAATAACAATTTCTATAAAATTGTAGACCGATGCGTATATTTTACACTAATGGTACTGAGATATTCAACTCCCAACTTTCATGTTGTATATTTATCACTTTGTGAAAGATGTTTTGACGCGAATAATGTACTTGATTTTTTTTTTAAATCTTGACGAAATCAAATACTACGTTGTCAGTGGACATCATATCGTCAATAAATATTAACGTTTGTGATGTTTACCCGTGCACAGATACAAGATAGAGTTGAGCGACCTGCAGATACTGGTGGGGCGCGCGCGGGACAACTGGAAGTACGCGCACACCAAGAGCACCTCCTCGCTGCATCTGCTCGACAGGTTCAGCATATCCCTGCAGGTATGTAGTAGAAATAATGTTAACTATAACGTCTTTCATATGCTAGTTTTTTTGAAATTTTATAATGTAATGTATGTACATTGGTATGTATGTTTTGGATCATTCGGCTCGAAGGACCAAAAGGATGTACGGTTCACACAGTCTTTTGTGATATTGAAAAACAATTATATTGTTATAAAAATAATGAAATGAGGACACGCTATTGCCATGATATTCAAACACGAACTGATTTAAATGATTTTTATGGCGTAAAATGACAATGCGACAAATGTACGTGCTTGCTGGTACACATGTCATCAAAATATTTAGGTGATATCTGATGAAAAGCATATTTTGTTTTGTTATAAAAAGAAAACTACTGATTCAATTTCGATAGAATTTAAATGGGATCACCTCGGTCCAACAATTTTTCGAACTAAAAATCAGTCAACAATTTCGGAACAATTGGTGAACATACATAAAAAAACTTACATCATATAACCATCTCCTTTATGATTTTGAAATTTGTCGGTTAATAATAGGAAATGTCTTTTGGTCAAGTCCCACAAATTGTTAATGCGCTGGAAACTTGCTCATATAACACCTACATGATATCATTTGAAAGTAGCAAATTGAGATGGCACAAAATGCAAGAGATACATTATTGATTAATTTTTCAGTTCAATTTATATAGATAACAAAAAAATAATAATAATCGAAAACTTTGTAATAACGCGATAGCAAAAAGATTTTTTTAAACATCACCAAAGTTGATTATTGGAATGAGAGATATATTTAATTTTTAACGAAATTAGGTTTACTTATTGCGGTATGCTATTTTAGTCAACTATAACAAGTAACAGCAAAACGACAAGAATCGATAATAACAAAACTTTTTTGTGATCTCAACACCACCCAACTCAAAGTGTAGGCGTTAATTAGTGTTTATTTGTTAACGGTACTGATCGTTGAATACAATCACTTGACCATAACGGCGGCCAGCGCATCAGCAATTTGCGGGGATTATATTCGGGTGTACATGACGTAGGCGGAACGTCGCGTGGTGGCGACCAGCGACCCCATGTACCCGGGCGTGGCCGTGTGCGGCTCCCTGCCCGCGCTAGTGGCGCACCTCAGCGAGCACAAGCTGGCCGCGCTGCACGCCGTCATCGCCGCCACGTACGCGCCCCCGCCGCCCCCGCCGCCCCCGCCACCGAACAGGTGACGCCTCACGCTACACACACAGTCTACAGCACTCGATTTTGTGTTATAATTATCGTAAAAGCAATCTTTCGTATAGATCAGAGGATGGAGCGAGCGCGGAACCTCCGACAGATTCGGGTGCCGAGGATGAGCCCACCGACGACTCGGAGACGGAAAATTCCGTCGGCGCCAACAACGCCACACTCTTCATGCTACAGTTCGCCATCGAACAGATGTCGCTCGAGGTATGCCGATATCGAACTATAGAAGTTTGTTTCGAGGAGGATGATATAGTCTTAACTTCACTTCAAAGGATATTATGAATTCGAAAATATTTCAAATAAAGGAGCGTTTTCGGTCAACTCGTTAACAGGTATATGATTCCAAAAGTCACGGATACGGCAATGAATAAGAAGACAGTGCAGTCAATGTTTGGTTAAAATATGTACCCAGGTGCAGTCTCGCGGGCGCAGCATCGCGGAGGTGCAGGTGTGCGGCGTGCGCTGCGCGCTGGGGGCGCGGCCCGCGGACCTGTCCCTGGCGCTGTCCGTGCACTCGCTGCTGCTGGTGGACGCGCTGCAGACCTACGGGCCCGACTTCGAGCTGCTCGTGGCCAGCCACAAACACCTCGGGTCAGTCGCTGCCCACGGACGCCCGGCGAACTGCGCATGCTGTAATTGAAACTACTATAAGGTGCGCGATGCGCGTGTGCAGGATGGACACTGCGTCGGGCAGCATCCTGGGGTCGGAGCCGACGTCGCCGCGCTCCCCCGCCTCCCCCGAGCCGCCCCCGCCCCCGCCCCCGCACCCGCGCGTCCTCACTCGCGCGCTGCACACGCTCGCCGCTGCCACCGGTCCGTATTTGCACACACTCATTTGCGTCTTGTTGCAAACAAACAATTTAAATATTTCTACTTTGCTAAAAAGCTCCGAAGAAAATCCAGCGTTTAACCTATTACAGTATATCGTAATTTCTTCTATTCCGAATCTAAGCTCGTTTTGAACTCTCTGAGCTTATTTTTTTCTGTTCGATCAACCTGGAACTCGACTGTCTACAATTATGACTAGTTCGCTCCCTCCTTATTTTCATATCACTTTTTTTTTTTTACTTTTATAATTTCAATATTACACGCTAGAAATCCCACTGACAGTTTAATCCTTGATTGATAAACTTAGGCCATCCCGAAGCGGAACAGTTGAACTCGCCTCCCACGAGTGGCGAGTGGAATAGTACGATGTTCACGAGCGGATGCAGCGCGCCGGGACCCGGGGGCTGGGACTGGGGCGCGGCGGGGCCCGGTTGCGGTGCGGCGGGGCCCGCGTGGGCCGCTCCGGGCCTCATCGACTCGGAGGCGCTCATAGCTGTCGAGCTGTGCTTCATTAAAGGCGAGGGAGACTCCGAAGACTTGAGGATAGCCAACATTTCGTTCAACAACCTGGATATTATCGGTACGATTTAATTATTCGCTTAAATCATTCAATACAGGTGTAGACAATTAACGAAAATAAAAACATATTATTTTGTTTTCTGATAGCGTTTAATATATTATTACCGATAATCACACTTCTATGCTTATTATATTTATAATATTGCTTAAATTGATTATGAAAATCAAACATTTTATGCTACTTGTTATGTGACCGCAAACAGCGCGTGACGTCAGCACCTTCAACTCATATTAAAATTTGGAGAATTCAACCTTATGCATACATAGAACAATATTCGTTTCAGAGGGCCATGACGTCATAGAGAAGGGGCGTTTAATTCCAGTGGGAAATTTTAGAAATTAAATTTTAACTTATTATATGAATGTTTTTTTTTTTAGATATATTGCATGTATATTTATAGTCATATAAAAAAGTTGTCTACGCCCCTATTAAATTTTGATGGCCAGGTCGTAACAAAAGTTTGATATAATTTATTTCTTCTGCAGTTTAACTATGGTATGTATTATAAAGTAATATGTATTTATTTATTAGACATACAATAAATATATATCAGTTTGTTAAAATGAAGGGCTGTTATTTTTTTGCATTCGTTTTATTATATCTTTATTTTATAAAAAGGTAATTCTCATAAGCTATCATTTTAAGATATTGTATAATTAATATAGCGAACCAAGAGACTATAGTGGAGCTGATAGGGTTCGCCCAGCGCGTCGCCGGTGGCCGCCCGCCTAAGAAAGTGCCTTCAGATACTCACCTCTCACAACACAACATCGACGACCAAACGCTTCCTACGGCGACCACAAACGACGAAATAAAGGTACTCAATGTCCCGCCTCCTCGATCGATATACCTAACACTGTAATATAAAGGGTACTATTCTAAATATCACGAACGGTAACGTGTTCCGCGACCTTCTCTCGTATTAAAAAGTTCATTGGTTAAAATCAGTCGATCGGTTTTGCTAGTTATGTGTATAGAAAACAAATAAAATGGACCGTATGGACTTGTTTTTCTCAAAGTAAAAGGAACGAAACGAAACTGAATACAATCGTGCTCTACTTGTTCGGTGGGCAGCGCTCCGTGCGCACGGAGATCACGTTCGACTTCCACCGGCTGGGCGTGCTGCTGCTGCGCGCCGCCGTGCACGACGGGCAGCCCGTCGCGCGCAAGATCGCCACCGCCGCCGTCACCGGGGCCAAGATACAGGCCACGCTCGGTAACGCATGCACGCATGCACGTGCACATGGTGCGCACTACAACTCACACTCTGTCTCCACTCTACCCTATGTAGGGGATACCTACAACTTATACGGAATCGACGAACCCGATGACTACTGTCTGGACACTTTAAATGTAATGCAATTTTAGTTTCAACGTAATGAAATCGTAGACGACGATGATTATTACGTGAATTTAGATCGCCGTGCGTCGAACTTGAAATGTTTTGATCACATTTTTTTTTATCGACACGCAATGTACATCGAGTTCCGCTTATGTCAATTAATCAAATGGACGGTCTGATAGTTATTTTAATGTGTGGTGTCAGACGCGAGCAGAGTGGAGGTGGGCGGGTCGCTGGGCGGCGTGCAGGTGGTGTCGCTGTGCGAGGGCGCGGGCGTGCACACGCGCGTGCTCGCCGCCGGCACGCTGGCGCACGCGCAACACGACCACTCGCACCACGACAAGGCGCTGTTCTTCACCATCCGGAGGAGAGTGCACTCCGCCGACGATGAGAATGCGCCCGGTGAGTGATACACTTCTGTATTTTTTTAATATATAACACGTTATCAGTGTTCGCTTTTATTATTATAAGTATTCATTTGAGTCGTTAAAATATTTTTGAAAAAGGAACGATGTAACTAGTCGTATGTAGAATGTGCAGCGGTGGCGGTAGCGGTGGCGGTGGAGGTGCACGTGGCGAGCGTGTGGTACACGCACTCGGGCGCGCTGCTGCGGGAGCTGCGGTCCTGCCTCACCGAGTTCAAGCGGTACCTCGCCAACCTGGCGCGCTCCATCCGCGCCGCCGCCGCCGACATGGCCATCACGCTCGTGCATCCCAGGTGTGACCTCCGTCTACGTGTGCCGGTTCCTGTTACCTTTGAAACACGAAAACGGCATCCTAATGAGGTATTTTATTCTCTGATCTCGGTAGAGGTGAGAACCTGTACTCGAATCCGCGGCTGTCGCAGTCGACGGAGGGCGTCTCGCCGCGTCGTCGCACCGTCAGCGTCGGCACCTCCCTGGACGATCCGCCCGACCTGCGCCCGGAACAAATACAGCTCAGGTCGGTATTTTATTTATAGCGGTAGCATGTTATACTCCCTCTTGTCCAGAAATAAACAGCGAGTGTGTATTGATGCAGTGTGAACGTCGAACTGGAGTCCCCGGTGGTGGTGGTGCCGCGCAACGCTCACAGCACGCAGGTGGCGGTGGCGCACCTGGGCCGCATGAGCCTCACCAACACGCCCGGCGCCCCGCAGCACACCATCTACCGCGTGCGCGTCAGGGACATCTCGCTCGCCACGGTCAGTATCCACCACTACACTACACTACACTAAACTACACCATACAGGTGGCGGTGGCGCACCTGGGCCGCATGAGCCTCACCAACACGCCCGGCGCCCCGCAGCACACCACCTACCGCGTGCGCGTCAGGGACATCTCGCTCGCCACGGTCAGTATCCACCACTACACTACACTACACTACACTACACTACACTACACTAAACTACACCATACAGGTGGCGGTGGCGCACCTGGGCCGCATGAGCCTCACCAACACGCCCGGCGCCCCGCAGCACACCACCTACCGCGTGCGCGTCAGGGACATCTCGCTCGCCACGGTCAGTATCCACCGCTACACTACACTACACTACACCATACAGGTGGCGGTGGCGCACCTGGGCCGCATGAGCCTCACCAACACGCCCGGCGCCCCGCAGCACACCACCTACCGCGTGCGCGTCAGGGACATCTCGCTCGCCACGGTCAGTATCCACCACTACACTACACTTCACTACACTACACTACACCATACAGGTGGCGGTGGCGCACCTAGGCCGCATGAGCCTCACCAACACGCCCGGCGCCCCGCAGCACACCACCTACCGCGTGCGCGTCAGGGACATCTCGCTCGCCACGGTCAGTATCCACCACTACACTACAACTACACTACACTACACCATACAGGTGGCGGTGGCGCACCTGGGCCGCATGAGCCTCACCAACACGCCCGGCGCCCCGCAGCACACCACCTACCGCGTGCGCGTCAGGGACATCTCGCTCGCCACGGTCAGTATCCACCACTACACTACACTACACTACACTACACTACACTACACTACACTACCACTACACTACACTACACTACACTACACTACACTACACTACACTACACTACACTACACTACACTACACTACACTACACTACACTACACTACACTACACTACACTACACTACACTACACTACACTACACTACACTACACTACACTACACTACACACTACACTACACTACACTACACTAAACTACACCATACAGGTGGCGGTGGCGCACCTGGGCCGCATGAGCCTCACCAACACGCCCGGCGCCCCGCAGCACACCACCTACCGCGTGCGCGTCAGGGACATCTCGCTCGCCACGGTCAGTATCCACCACTACACTACACTACACTACACTACACCATACAGGTGGCGGTGGCGCACCTGGGCCGCATGAGCCTCACCAACACGCCCGGCGCCCCGCAGCACACCACCTACCGCGTGCGCGTCAGGGACATCTCGCTCGCCACGGTCAGTATCCACCACTACACTACACTACACTACACTACACCATACAGGTGGCGGTGGCGCACCTGGGCCGCATGAGCCTCACCAACACGCCCGGCGCCCCGCAGCACACCACCTACCGCGTGCGCGTCAGGGACATCTCGCTCGCCACGGTCAGTATCCACCACTACACTACACTACACTACACTACACCATACAGGTGGCGGTGGCGCACCTGGGCCGCATGAGCCTCACCAACACGCCCGGCGCCCCGCAGCACACCACCTACCGCGTGCGCGTCAGGGACATCTCGCTCGCCACGGTCAGTATCCACCACTACACTACACTTCACTACACTACACTACACCATACAGGTGGCGGTGGTGCACCTGGGCCGCATGAGCCTCACCAACACGCCCGGCGCCCCGCAGCACACCACCTACCGCGTGCGCGTCAGGGACATCTCGCTCGCCACGGTCAGTATCCACCGCTACACTATGCATGTCCGGAGTGCAAAAAAACAAGTCAGAAAAGGCGACAATAGCAGTACGCCCGTCAAAAATATTTGTGACGCCGCTGAAGGAGTCCCTTTTGACGCGGAGTTTAAATATTAGTAAGATGCAACGAGAGATCAAGGATTGCACTGTTGAATTCTGTGAACACATGAAGGAGTTTGAATTTGGACGAGCACAGCTTTTTTGTATGAACGCCGATGTGGACAGTGTTTTTATACTATTCGTAATTATTATTATTTATTGAGGGGGAGTCGGTTGCTATGTCAGACGAGGTGTTAATGGTCAGGTCTGGTCTCATCCGGTGGATCCATTGTAAACAACACTAGAACAGATGTGGCTCTCCACGACTCTTAATGGAATGAAGTCAATTATAGGTACTGCATATCCACCATACTGATTTATTCTGCTATGCAATTTCGAACACCATCAGTTCGACACCCAGTTTTGACAATTTGATACTGTTGGGTGGTTTTAATATGAATTTGTTGCAAAGTCATGAGACTGATTTAAAAAAATTAATAACTTTGCAACTCGGCAAAAAATTCGGCAGCGCGCTTGTAGCTTCTCTGGTGTTGCAGGTGTCCATGGGCGGCGGTAATCACTTATCATCAGGTGATCCGTCTGCTCGTCTGCCCCCTATCCCATAAAAAAAAACTTGTTTTCAATTGTCTCGGCTATTATCACAGCCTACATACTTCACTGTCCCCAGATGTTTGTTCAGACTTGAATGATAAAATATTTGTTAGATACACAATACTCACTTATTGTTCTGTATCTGTGCTCAATAACATTTATTTTGTAAAAACTTAGAATCTTGGAACATATTATTTGCTTTTTCTGTCTACGCATACTTTTAGGCTTCTTTAATTTTTACCAAAAAACAAGTTCTAAAACTATAAGTTAATACAAGTTTTACGTGTAATGTTTTGTGTTTTTTTGTTGTTTTTATTCATAAAGAAATTTAGGGCGACGGAATCATGTACAGCCATGATATAAAATTGTACTGCTGTTCGTGACTTCACCAAATCGGTTCCAGCGCAAGATCAGTGCTGGTGTAAGACCAGCATGTGCTGAGTTGGAACCGTTTTGGGACATATCTTTTTCTGTTTTTGTCTAATATATATTTCTATGAAGTATCTACCTTGTCCCAAATAAATGGTTATTTATTTATACTAGTTAAAACGATTTTTTTTCGCTAGCTGGACGTGGCCGAGAAGTTGAAAAGTCACTGTCTGACGGCAGAGAACCTAGAACAGATCTACGATGTGACCTGCGGGCAGCCCGTGCTGCACGACACCGCGCTGCAACTCTCATTACACTGTTCCGAAGGCGACCAGAGTGGGGAATCGGTGCAACAGGTTGGTTTTACTTTATTTTAAATAGACATTTGCCAGCGAGTGAGTTTTTTTTTTAAATGAAATTTGCACACGTCCGGAAAGTTTGCTGTTTAAACAGTGTTAGTTTATTAGTGACTTATTATGTAAGATTTGTTTTATTATGTTTTGAAAATATAATAATTCCTAGTTCATAACCATACGATACGTAAAATGTGTTGTGCAGTACGAGATATCCGGCATGGTGGTGGGCGGGCTGCAGGTGACGGCGCGGCGCGAGCAGTACGAGCAGGTGCTGGAGACCGCGCGCTGGGTCACCGCCCCCCACCCCCAGCCCCAACCCCACCACGCCCCTCGCGCGCACCCCGCTCAGGTATTCGCTGGGACTTCTTTCAGATTGAAAATATCGATCGTGATATCGCGATTGCTTTATATCATTATGTTTATTATTGTTTAGAATTGAAACAGATTTTTGAATTGATAATTCTACTCTGCTGAAAATTTTAAATTAAAATTAGGTTCATTCTCGTTTCGGATATCGATCACCGCAGAAATGTGGGAGGTTTAAATTATTGTTAACGTTTCAACAGTATAGAGTTGGGGATTTCTTTGGTAGCTTAGATTGTTTACTAAATTGTTTGACGTCTGAAATATGCAAAACTTATAAGTGATACGGCATCGTTTCCGTAATGTAAAATGCTGCAGATGTCATCGGGCTCTAGCAGCAGCTCTCTGTTGGAGCCGGCCGTGCCGACGCTGCAGCTGGACCCCGCGCTGCGCGCCGCCACGCTGGCGACGCCCCCCGGCCCCGCCCCCGCCCCCCACCACCGCCACGCCTCCCCCCATCAGCCGGCTACCGATCGGCGACACCACAAACTCATCGGTAAGAAATATATTGTAAAAGCAATACAGGTGTAGCCAGTCAACGAAAATAAATACATATTATTTATTTTTCTGATAAGTTTTTCTGTTACCGATAATCACACTTTATTGTTGTTAAATTTATAATATTGATTAAATTAATTATGAAAAAACAAATATTGAGCGCAAACAGCGTGTGATGTCACATCTCATCAATGACGTACGTTGTATTATTTACACCCTCGGATTTTAGTTTTTCTTAGTGATTTTATCCGTGAGGTAGAGATTTGAATCGGACATCGGAGATGTGTTGGGTCGGTGATATCGAGCGTGCGTTCTATGTGCAGTCCAGTTCGAGATGAGCGAGATGAGCGTGCAGCTAGTGGCGGACCTGGGCGCGGGCGCGCGCTGCCTGGTGGGGCTCAGTTGCCGGGAGCTGGCGCTCGCCTACCGCGCCACGGCCCCGCACGAGACGCACCTGCAGGTGCTGAGCCTTGCGATCGAATTGCCGTTTTAATACGACGATTCATCAGCGAGTAGTTTTAAGCTGGAACCGCTCAATTAGCTGGAACCGAATCGACTCTTCCGTTCGGTCCATAATTTCTTAAGTCTGTTCGTTCTACGAAAAGGGACATCGATCGAAGGTCCTCTGGAATGGTATCGAAAACAGTTTTAGCTACACTCAAATCGAAAAATTCGAATTACGAATTTAAAGACGATTCTATACATACGCACTTCATAAACGCATATACATAAAATAAAATTAAAAATAATACTCATTATAGTACCGCTATCTTTTTTTATTCATTAAACTAATTTATGGTTTTAGGCTGAATATGAAAAAAAGGCACACGCATGAGCAGTTCGAAATGTGAAAAAACTCGCGCCCGCATAATTTACTTACTTGTAACCTGCCAATTTGTTTAATTTCAATTTTTCAATTATATGACAGTTGCATTAACCACTATTGTGAAATCGGCAGGTGTCCCTGGGCTCGGTGACGATGGAGGACCTGACGAAGGAGCCGGGCGCGGAGCACCGCCTGCTGCTGGTGTCGCAGGCGGCGCGCCCGCGCAGGAGCGCCGCCCTCTCCCACTCGTGCCCGCGCCTCGCCCCGCCCCCCGCGCCCCACCACCCCCACCACCCGCACACCGCCCCCCACCGCCCTCCGCGCAGGACCGCCTCGCTGCCCGCGCATCTCAACGTGCTCGATCAGGTGAACAACCCCGTCTGATACTGTTAAATCTCTGTGCTCGCGTACTTGCTTGTTATTTATTTTCTTCCATCGTTAGTATTTTCTCACGTCCTGACTGCGACATAAGTGTTATTTATGACGTCTGGTATTCGCTTAAACGTATTTATTTCATCATTCGAGGAAAAGGATACGCTTCGTTTGTTTTTTTTTATATATATATACTCTCGACCTACAGTTTCCGTATTCTGTAAATATATGACGATAAAACTGTAATTCGGTCAATAGGAGGCCGTCGTTCACGCTCTCTCCTGTGATTTTATTTTGTATGGGACTTTAATTTGTATTCTAGCAAATAAAGATCTTCTCTCATTTTGTCTTAAAAATATATGCGTGTACGCCGTTCGTATACGTGTACACCGCGTATAATCTTGCGCGTCCACGTTCTCGAACGTTGTATTTATTTATTTTCATTGGAACTCTTTACAGACCGGTCGCAACAGACAGAACGGGGAGTGTGGCGCGACTCCGCCGTGTTCGCCGGAATGTTCCGCGGTGGGAGGGGGGTGGGACGAGGCCGACGAGGGGGAGGGGACGGACGGAGAGGAGGACACGGACGGGGAGGAGAACTCGCCCGCTGAGCACAATCTCGTGCTCGTGTCCGTTCACACGCGCGACCCGGCCCACCCGCACTTCGAAGATACCTACGAACAGGTCAATATCGGGCGTCGTCGGTTTCATAAATAATTTCGTCGGGAGAGACTCGACAATGAGAGCGTGCGTCGTCTTCTAGATCGCGAAGCTGACGAAGGTGGAGTTCAACAGCGTGGACCTGGTCGTGAACGCGGACAGCTGGGTGGCGGTGCTCGACTTCTTCGGGATCGCCGGCGACGACCTGCCCGAAGACGAGACTCCCGATCCGCCGCCGAACGGTCGGTCGTTTATATTTTTAAGGAACGAAAACTGTCGGGATAGTTTAAATTCGAGTACTCTCTTTGTAGTATTTAAGACGAAAAGGGATTCACTTCTGCGTTCGTTCCTAGACCGCCGGCGGGCGCAATATTGTGCGACGATCTTTACTAAAATATGACGAATACTCTGTGCAGCGGGCTCAGGCGGGGGCGCGGGCACGGATGCGGACGAGGAGCGGGGGGCGGGCGCGGGGCTGTCCCGCACGGAGGTGTCGGTGCGGCGGCTGGGCGCGGTGGTGGTGCGGGGCGCGGGCGCGTGGCTGCGCGCGCGCGTGGGCCGCGTGCACGTGTGCTGCACGCACGCGGGCGCGGCGGGCGCGCGGCACACGCGGGCCACGCTGGCCGCGCTCTCGCTCACGGACCTGGCGCCGGCGCACCGCGCATGGCGGCACCGCCTCACCACGCACCGCCGCCACGCCCTCACGCTCCAACACACCAGGTACGCGCGCACCACCCGACCGACGCCGCTGGGTCGCCGGAAGTTTTACGCGACAACCTGACGTGCAGCCGTGTATATAACGGTTTCGTCGTTCGTTCTTTTATGTGTCGAAGGCGAAGGACCCGCAGAGTCCTTTTACGAATTGGCTAACGAAGCGCCGGCCCGATCCGTCCATCGAATAGACGAATAGACGACTCCTGTGCGATTGCACGTTTGACCGTTTTCCTAACGTGAACAGGCTGAGCGCGGCCGAGGCTGCGTCGGCCGGCTACGACTCGAGCCTGGAGATGGACGTCGGCCCGGCGACGTACGTTCACACCAAGCGGTTCGTGCACGAGCTGCACACGTTCTCGCAGGATTTCAGCATGCTGCGCCGCGTCATCCTCCAGGCCCGACGGAAGGTGCGCTCGTTGAATACAAATCGACTACGATATAGAACATATTTGACGTTCGTTTTTTTAGACCGGTCGCTCTCGGAGGCGTTTCCTCTGTATAACGTGGAAGAGTGTTTGCGCGTGAACAGGTGTCGGGCGGCGGGGCGGCGGGCGCGGCGACGGCGGGGCGGCGGCGGCTGCAGCTGACGTGCGCGGCGCCGGTGATCGTGCTGCCGGCGGGGGCGGGGGTGGGCGCGGGGGCGGGGGCGGGCGCGCTGGCCGTGCAGCTGCAGCGGCTGCACGTCACCAACGCGCTGCTGCCCGCCGGCCATCCGGGCACAGTCGGCACGCCCGCGCCTCCCACCGCCGACGACGGTATCTACTTTCCACTTTGCTCTATGTTTTATGTCGATCGATAGCGGCGATCACAGTTCGCAACAATACTTAAACATCTTTAAGAGATCAACGCTTTACATTGACGGTCATGTAAGGCAAATTTGAAACCGTATGGAATGTAACGCGTAATATGGAGCGTTTTAATAATATGGATCGCTAACAATGCAATATGTGTAAATGAAACCACGACAGGATGTCAGTATAAGTGTTAATGAATTAGGTATATGTTTGTGCGTTCCGCCCAGTTAGGCAATCGGAGTGATCAAGTAACCAACCTAAAATTGAGCATTATCGCATTTGCATTAGAGTAAAATTCGTTTTGACTTTATAACGTTGTAAAAATTACTAGTTATCAAAAATAGACAGTTTTGATATTGGTGATTGGCGATACGATAGCGGTTGTGTAACATGATTTAAAAAATGGATAACAACCCATCGCTATTGAGAAATTTATCAATCCCACAAGTGTTGTGCAGCTCAATTGGTAATAGCCTACACTTTAATAGTTTCTCCGAAAACTAAATTTCATCTATTTTCGAAACAGTAATACAACTCCAAAGAAAGTATTAGTATATAATCAGTGATGTAATGGAGATAGGACCTGACACTGTCTCTGATGCACTGTTGTCTTCACGGAAATAATTTCAAAATAACGTTTCGAATTTTCGTACATAAAAAAAATAAAAAAGACCAAAGAAAAAATAAATTAGGAATTAAACTACTCTGTTTAAGCGATTTGTAATATTAGGCGTTTCCTAGTTAAGCTATGCCTAGTTCTAGGTTAGTAAAAATGGATGAAAATGACTTAAGAAACGAACCGTTACCAGAATAGTAGGTTAGGCTAGAACTCCTAGCGCGCGGGAGATGGACCCCCGCGAGACCCACACCGTGCTTCGCTCGTGTAGAAAGAGACATCGCTAAGTTTTAATGGGTATGCCTCTGCTATTTGACTAGTCCCCACTCTGGGGGCGGATCCGTAGATGAGAGTCCCACATAACTTATGGACCTCGTGCAGGGAAAGCGAGTATTCGTAAAGCATTTCCTAGTGCCAAAAAAAGGTTTTAACTGCTACCGTCACAGAAAATGGTTATCCGGTAAAAATACGTTGTTTAAACACAGACGAAGATATAATATGGATCGCTGATAACTTCGTTTATTAAATAAAATAATATGGTAAGAGTAAAACAGATTTTCTGATAGTGCTGATTTATATCTTACTAATGAAACGGCTGGCACCGACCTCAAAAAATTTTTGGTGTATCCAATTTTTATATTTTGTTATTATATTATATTATGTGAAGGCCAATTAGGACCCCGTCTCAGGGCCTTGATAGGGCCTTAAAATATTTGCAAGTAATTTATGAGCGACGGATAATGTATATCCATTATAAAGAACCGAATTAATATTTAATGTTTTGTAAGTATTAAAGGCCTATGGTAGCAGTAAGGCCTATGCTCAGCAGTGGGCGTCTTACAGCTGATGATGATGATGATGAAGTATTAAATATGTTGACAGAGGAACCCGAGTTGTTAGACGTAAAAACGGTACATCTGAAGGGGGCATCGTTGTGGTGCGTGGTGGCTGGAGGGGGAGGGGGAGGGGGCGGGGAGGGGAGGGTTCCGCGCATGCAGCGCCAGGGCCCGCCGCTGCTGCAGGCCCCCACGCATCTCACCTTTATTATCGAACACAATATCACACAGCGCACTCGCTCAGGTTATTGTTTGTCTCATTACGTATGTACGTGTTAGCATAAAATTTGTAAATGGTGACTTATAAATATGTAAAGAATAACTATGTTGTAATTTTTAATTTTATGATAAATTTTAGCAGTTATATTTTATTTATTCAAAATTAACTTCCGCTTTATAATCTGTTGATCACAAGAATCGAAACATGAGTAGTCATAATGCCTCGTGTGACGTCACATTCCAATAAATTAAACGTCTTTGTTGCGAGTGCTGCTAGTATTCACGTTTATTGGAATGTGACGTCACAGCTCCAAATTTCTTGTGACTGACTGTTCTCGCGGGACAATTTAAATTAATTGATAAAAATAGGTTTTATTAGTTTTAATGAAATTAAGAATATTTTTGAGTATACTTATAATATTTTTTGAAGAAAAGAAATCTGATAGTGGTTTAATACGATCATATGAAAGTCAAAATACTTTTCCCGAAATAGTCAAGTAAATTATCCTCAAGATTAATATTTCACATTTTTATTATTAACGATGTTACATAATATACATTTAATAACCAAAGGCACTAGAAGGTATTTCGAGGAAGTCGTTAGATTTAGTACAGATACACATATTTTTATATTTATTATTTGGTGGGAATGAACTTCTGCAGTGTACCGTCGTTCGATACACACGTATTTGATTGTGCGTCGCAATTCACTGACAATATAATGGTTAGGTTCGAATCCCGATTCGGAAATTCAAAGGTATATGTTTAAAAGAATATCGTATACGATGTCTAGTGCCGGACGTGACGATCCAGGGCACTCTGACGACGCTGCAGTGTGCGGTGGACGGCGCGCAGTACCGCCTCCTCCGCGGGGTCCTCGCCCACAACCTGGGGGAGCACCTGCCCGACCACGCCCCCCACCACCACCAGCCACAGGCACAGGTAACGAGCTAAAGAAACACCCCGTCTTCGGTAGAAGAGCGTCACACATTTACAAATACCCTTTCATCGCCGATTCGACGTTTCCCTTTGAATGAAATCACTGACGAGCGAATTATCGGCAGTCCGGTGAAAACGCGCAGCGCGTGTGGAGGACGAGCTCGCTGCAGCTGGACCTGCACGACGTGTCCGTGCGCCTGGAGCCGGAGCACGGCCGCTCCTCCCTCGCCTGCATCAACTTCATCGACTCCCGTCTGCTCGTCGACACGTACTCGGACCTCAGCCAGGATATCGACCTCGTGTCTCAGGTGCGTTACTCGTTCACGTATGTGTCGCCGTCGCGGCGATAATTTATCTCTGAAAAATTAATTATATCATGTTTTGTATATTACCCATATGAACGATACCAGGAAATCTTGGTGAGTGACACCCGGTACGCGAACGAGCCGGCCAACCGCCGCGGCAACGTGTTCAGTAATATCGTGCAACCGATGCACGAGCGACGGCACACCGTGCAGGCGGAGGTGCACGCCAGGTATGGAACCCGAACCCGAATAGCTATATCGTTTTATACGTATTATACTGCCCGCTTCACTAATTTGTAACTCAAATTGTACAATATTTTTACAGTATTGAAAGAGCCTTGTTTCGTTTAATATTCCAATGAATAATTCCTGCCTTTAGTAATATATGCACATGTTTTTAAAATGTTTTCGTATAATAATTTATATCGTTATATAATTGTAACTAAGGACCCGGCACTGGTATACTAAAATTTAGTAATAATAATAATTTATAAAAAAAAAGAAGTAACAACTACGAGCAGCTTAAACCCCGAAAGTTTTAAATCATTTTAAATCAATATGGATTTTGATTACCCAAAGCGACTAATAATTAATCGATTTTTTAAAGTATAATACTTTTTTAATTATCATAATATAGTTTACAAAATTGGTGAAAAAAAGAAAGTAAAGGCTAAAACATAATTTAAATTGTAATCTGTTGTTTATTTTGTTTTTGTAATACATTAGTGTTATTGCATTGATGTTAATTTTTTGTAACAACGACATCCCTATACGTGTACATATTCGTCACATCCGCGTAAATAGCGTGCCGTTTGAATATTTTGAAGGTGGCACATTTTTGTTTTTTGCACTTTTCAATAATTATTTTCAAGACGAAAACAAACTAATGTTGATAAATATTTATATAGACTTTATTTTAAAGTAATAATTAACATAATAAACTATATTTATCCCGATTTTTGAATCAAATACATATTCCCTATTGTCACTTCGACTCGATAATACGAGTGTCAAAAGCATGCAAGTAAATATGATTGCACAGCGATTTACATTTTGCATTTGTTTATTTTTATTCAATCACTATACAGAAAACGCGGCGACTCATCAGCGTACACGATATTAGTAAACAATATGCGTCTGATGGCCATCCTGGACTGGTGGGAGGCCGTCAGCCAATTTATCTCTCAGGCACCTCTCGAGATACCCAATGACGCAGCGGGACACCATATGTGAGTATATAAAGCGGTGGTATGATAAGCCGTGATTGATCATTATTGTACGTCCAGAATGGGCAGCATTTCGAACTGGCTGCGATTCATGTAACGTCTACTGTACACAGATTGACAGTAAAATATTATTATTACTTTTTCGATATCTTCCATGAGAATCGAAATACTGCGACCCATTTTACATAGACTTATTTCAAGATTTACTCGCAGATTACTCCTTTATTACGGTAGAATTTTGTTTTATTTTTGTACTATAGAATTGCCAGCATTACAGATTTTGTAACGAAACCAAAGGTAGGGACCAGCTCAGGGTTGCGGAAAAAATCTCTGGTGATATTCTTCTAACATTCGAGTTTATTGCCAAAGAATATACATCAAATAACTTATAAGTAATTTTTCTAAGATACTGTGTCGGAGCTGGTTGCCATAAAAAAAAAATCAACCAGCAAAACAAAACCACGTGAATCGAACGCGAAAAAATTAATAAATCAAAATATTAACGGCAGCATTGACCATAAATAGTCCGGAGAGTAAACCTACCTATAGTAATGTGCACGGACGTTATACTTTAGACGACGTACATACTTTTATTCGGAGGGTATTCAAGAAACCACATATCGTATGCAAACAGGGAATTTATATTTTGTCCTTATCTTTAATATTGTATATGTGTGGATTCGAAGAACGAACCATGTTTCCATGTCCGGAAATATTCGGTCGGTAATATTGAATTGTCGAAAAGAAACGATACAGATAAAAAAAATTCTCTTCCTGATATTTATGTGACGTGAAACAGCGATGGATGGCGACAGCCGCCAGCGGGGACGAGCGACGCAGGCGCGGGCGCGGCGGGGCCGGGGGGGGAGGGCGTGCTCGAGTTCAAGCTCAACGTCACCGACTCGCAACTGGTACTCGTCGAGGACGCCTCCGTCTGGGACACCAACGCGGTCATATTGAGGGTACGCTATATACCCTTCTTTATACGGATGTACGCTATATAGCGTTCTTTAAGGTTCCTACCTTAAGGAGTCGTATCGAGAAAATCCGTTAAAGGAGATATGATTATTTTTAGAGCACGACTGTAATAACGTACCGGTTGGCGGATCCTCTGAAGCCGGTGTCGTGCGAGCTGAACGAGCTGGAGGTGTTCTCGTGCGTGCTGGGGATGGAGGAGGAGACCGCGCTGTCGATAGTGGAGCCCGCCGCGCTGCACGTGCATCTGCGCGCCGACGCCGTGCTGCACGTGCGTACACACACACGAGACAGTCTAAACGAAAACAGTCGATGACGACCGTATCCATACATTCTTTATTGCGTTATTTACATATTTGTGACATTGTAATATCAGGTGGCGATGGGTACACTGAACCTGCGGCTGTCGTATCACGACATGCGCATGTTCGCGTCCATGCTGCGCTCGTTGCCCGCGCAGGTGCGCGTCGCGCTCTCACGTGAGTATACTCGAGCCACATCCACAATTGTTACATTTTCAACATGGGAATTAGATCGTCTTCCGTTACAATGAACGAGCAATCGTCCGGGACTTCAATCGTGATATGTGTGGTGTAGGCAAATTGCTCCCTAACGCGACGGAGGAGGATGCGCCGGCCAACAGCGTGCACATGCACAGGGGCGGCGCCGCGGGCCCGCCCGAGCCCGACGCGCGCAACCAGGGGGGCGGCGCGGGGGGGCCGGGGGGCGGCTGGGGCGGCTACTGGCTGCGGGGACACCATGCCCCCGCGCCCCCTCCGCTGCCATCCACACCACCTTCTACACACAAGTCTTCCATATGGCCCCTGAAAGCTGTTCAGGTATATAGAGTCGCATTTCGTGCTATTTTACGAATTTCTTGTGTCTTAAAACAGAGAGTAAGTAAATGTCGAACGTCGTTCGTGACAGGTAAGCGCAGACTGCATAACGTTGTGCGTCATCGACGACTGTCTCGATTCCGATGTACCACTCCTCGAAGTCTCGTTCGGGGATCTGCGCGTGGAACAGGTATGATATCTAAAATTAATATATTGTTTAAGTGGTTGTTGTTTAGATTATATTGTATTCTAAATTTTGAACAGGATCATATAAATTTATAGACGTTAAATAGATACTTGTCGATTTTAAAATTATCTAAACTAAACGTAAATAATTATGTCAACAAAAGGATCTCCGGAAAGAGGAGGAAGGTTTAGATGATCCGTTGCTGGTGTGCACACCGGCGGGCCCGGCGCCCGCCATCACCAGCGGAGGGGGCGCGGGGGCGGGGGCGGCAGCGGGGGGCGGCCGCTTGAGCGCGCTGCTGTCGGCCGACTACTACAATCGTACACTCTCCGGCTGGGAGCCCGTCGTTGAACCTTGGAGGTCTGTATCTGGAACGAACTATAGATCTTTTACAATCAATGTTAAAAGACTAAAATGTGTTTCAGGATCTCCGGCCCCACCGCGTCGACGGTAGTACAGTTGTGGACCAACTCGGTTTAGTCAGTATTCGTGATGCAGGTTCGAGACTAGATGGGAGAGCACGTTGACGCGGTCGCTGGCCCCGGGGCGCGTGCAGGTGGAGGTGCGCGCGGAGGCCACGCTGGAGCTGAACGTGACCTCCGCGCTGGTGGACCTGGCGCGCCTGGTGCGCGGCAACTGGGCCGCCGACTACTACGCGCCGCACGACCAGGTCGCCCTGCTGTTACCGTATACGATTTGATACGTAGCTCGGTTGAAGACTATCTCCTTAACTTTCTCCTGTTGTTGTTGCCAAAAATATTTTTCCACATCTAGTATTATTTTGTTGTTCGTCCACATCGACGACCCCGATCATACTTAAAATCCTTCATACAGAAGATCAATTCAGACGTCGTTCGTAATTTATTTCATTCAACAGTTCATCTGTCTATGCAATTCATATGATAAGTGATAACGTGAACAATAAAATGAGTCGTGAGTATGTACATGTGCACAGTGGGCTGGCGCGGAGCCGGGCCAGTCGCCGAAGGGCAGTCCTGCGGGGCGCACGCGCCGCTCCCCCTTCGTGCCGTACGCGCTCCGCAATCACACCGGCCACAGGCTGTGGTTCACCACCATGCTCACCACCGCCGACCAGTAAGATCGGTCACGATTAGTTTTTTATTTCAGAGAAAATAATAAAAAGGCCTTCGGCAAAGGGTAGGAGATATAAAAATTACCTCGACCGGGTCTGACGTTCTGCGACTCGATAACGTAAATGATCTCTGGGAAACATAAAATTCATCGACACGGAGGACGATATACGACGGTGTCGAAGACGAACGAAATTTTGTGAATTATTTCAATTTTTTCATTCTCTATTCCGTTTTCATTTCGTTCATCGTCAACGTTCGTCAAAAAGTTTCCTCTAAAAGTCGGCCGTCCTCTGATGTTTTGATATAAGGCAGCGTGTGTCGTGCAGGGCGTGGGAGGGCGCGGGAGCGGGGGCGGGCGCGGGGGCGGGGCCGGACGACTCGTGGGTGTGCGTGCGGGAGGCGCACACGGAGCCGTTCTCGTTCGGGGCGCGGCGGCGCGCGCGGGCGCCCCCCGCGCCCCTGCACCTGCTGGCGCTGCGGCTCGACCACTGGGCCCCGCCCGACCCCGTCTGCGTCGACCGCGTCGGCGTCTACTTCAGGCATATCGCACACACGGTAACGTCGCCCTTCACTGTTTTACTCGTATCTATACTCCGGGCGTCCTCGAATCCATTATTTTTATTTTTCATTATTTATCATGAATTGGTATTGTTTTCCGTAAATTAATAAATAGTAATTCGTAATGTCCATTAACGTTCGAGCTCATCGAGCCCATACGTGTTCGTCGGCGACCGATTACCGACTTAAAAAATCGTTAAGGTCGCGAGCGTCCTGCGTATACTAATATAGGAAGCGCCCGGTGGAATATTTGTGTTTATATATCGATGATACAGGCGACCGGCAACATCGCCCGTCTGGTGTTGGAGGTGTCGTTGGAGGGGTCGGCGCGCAAGTTGGTGACGGTGCGGTCCGCGCTCATGCTCGTGAACAAGCTGCCGCACGCGCTCGAGGTGCGCGCGCCCCGCGACTCCGCCCACGCGCACGTGCACGGGCACGCACGAGGTAACGAGCCGCTCCACGCATCCTACGTCTGTATACGTGCACGTCCTTAAACCGACCTTTCTACTAACGAAAAGAACGACCTCCCCCCCCCTCTCTGTAACTCCTCTCGTAGCATCGGTCACCAGTTTAGACTGTCGTTAGTTTATTTGATACTTAAGGACCGAGTTATATACCGCCAGTTGATTTTACATCTTATACATCTTCTTTATTAAGTCTATTCTCCTATGGAACTCACTTCCTTTAAACCTAAGAATGTCTACTAGTCGGTATGCGTTTAAAACTAAGTTATGCAGCTTCCTTTTGGAGCAGGCAGTTTCCTTTAATCGTGTATGTATGTATTTAATATATTGTATTTATAGTTATGTATGTATGTTTCTATGTACAATATTATATTGTATGTATCTTAAAGTATGTATATTAATTAACTTATCTAGTTTAGTCTATTCTTATGGTGTTTTTTTTTTATAATTTTGCACTTGACAATGCCGCAGGAATTAAGTCCGCCTATGTACATTTAAGCATAAATAAATATATAGGGTGAAACGTGAAAACGATGCACGTAGAACTTGGAGTTTCAGTAGAAGTATTTAAACCGTTTAATACTAATTGTTTAGTAGTAGTAGAGGCTTGATGTTTTCTCAAAAACTTCTGGCTATCGGATACTGTAGCGCTGCCGCAGAGCCCGTCCTGCTCCCTCTTTAATAATGCGACGGTGAAAAACACTTCCTATAAATAATTAACCTAGTTAAAAACATATTTTTAAATTACTACTTTTCCGAAATGTTGGTTGCGGTTACCGCATTTGACAAAAACTCGACAGACTTGTCGATATCGACCCCTGCATAATAAATAAATAAAGAAGGACGCCTTAAAAATCTACTACTACGATGTTTAGTTTGTCAAAGGATTAGTACTTCCGTAATGACTGACGACATAGAGAATATTTTAAAAATAGTTTTGAAAACAACTAGAGGCAGAAGACGGTCCTGTCTGCCGTTGTGTATATGTGCCGCTATAGCATGTGAGCGCGTTGGTGCAGAGAGCGGAGGCGGCGGCGGCGCGTGGGTCCACGCGGGGGCCGCGCGGCTGCCGCCCCCGCGCCCCGCGCCCCTCTTGACGATCCTACATCCCGTGTTTGTCAACTGCGGTAACTCCATGCTCACTACGTACACCGCTGTAGACTACCGTACTGTATGTAGGGTTGCAGTGACCTCGTCAGCTTATAACTTTTATCTAGCCTGTAAAAGTCGTGTGAGTTGTTATTAATTACGTGTAAAATTAATCCGACTAACTATTGCACAATTGATATCTCGCTGTTTTGTTTAGTTATTCTATCTCGTAAATAGTCCTTCCCACTATCCACGTAGTGATGGTCATATTTATTTGTAGAGAGTGAAACCGACAACCTGTACATTTCGTTTATGTAATCGGTTCGTTAACTATTCGTTTATATCGACTGATTAATCGGAGAAATATGTCCCGCTCCTCCGATCTAACACGTAACCCCTGTGGTATCCCGCTCGAAGAGACTCGCCGGGTGAGCTCAGGAACATAATCAATTCGTGTTTTAGTTACGTTTATACATATTTCAAAAAATTACTTTTTGACCAGATTTCATGTCAATTCGGACTAGAAGTGATCGTCTTCTATATCTAAAAGAAGTAGACGGGGGTCGAAAATACCACGCAGTTCTGTATCGTAATATTAAGGTGCGCAGCGGCGTGATGTTTCGTCAGCTCGTTGCTACATGGCTTTATGCGTTCTAACTCACGCTAACACTGGCGAAACTACGCGAGCCACTATCCGCACGATCTAATAGTGTTGTGAAGTGTCATTAGAGACGTGAAATATTGAAGTCGAAGTGTGTATTTTGTTGTTGGATTGTTTTTGTTATTTTATCATGTTAAATAAAGATTTGGATTGAATGAATTAAATTGGCGTTAATTTTTTATCCCGAACTCGTAACAGTATTTTAAAATTATATGCAATCGGGTCTTGTTCGTGCATTTTTTAAAACAATTTCTCGACGTTTCGGCTACGTTACAGCAGCCGTGGTCACGAGGAGGAGCCGATTGCATATAATTATAATGTATACAAATCGTGTGAGTTTAAAAATATTAGTATTTTAAAAGTTCGTATTTTGTATAAGGATCATGTAATCGCTAATAAAGTCAAAGTCAAAGTCAAAATAATCTTTATTCAAATAGAATTCTTAAAAGTACTTTTGAATCGTCCAACATTTTTTCCCTACCACTCGTTCAGGACGTCTTTTGGCTGATAAGAAGAACGAGCAAGAAACTCACCAGCTCTAATATGAGTAATGACATTTACAAAAACCATGTCATTACCAGATCAATACATTATAAACAGAGATAAAAAAAAACTATGGTCTTATAATAATAACATAATCATTTAATAATAATGGAAACAAGATAATGAGTTTAGAAGTAATCACCTATCCAGTTGCTGGATCATCTCAAGTCCAAGCGTTCTTATCTGTTACATAATCGGATACCTTATAATAAGCTTTTTTAATAAGTATTTTTTTAATAGTAGATTTAAACTGCATGATATCTAATTGTTGTATTTTGCTTGAGACCTTATTGTAGAAGCGCACACAAAGACCCTTGAAAGAGTTATTAACTTTTTGCAGTCTAGTGACAGGCACCGTTAATTTATTTTTATTTCTTGTATTAAAATTGTGTACATCACTTTTAATAGAAAACAAACTAATATTTTTACGAACGTACATTAAGTTCTCGTATATGTATTGAGAAGCAACAGTCATAATGTCTATTTCCTTAAATTTCTCCCTTAAAGAGTCCCTAATCCTAAGATTATAAATTGATCGAATTGCTCTTTTCTGAAGCACAAAAATTGTTTGTATGTCGGCAGCATTTCCCCACAATAGGATACCGTATGACATAACACTATGAAAGTAACTGAAGTATACTAATCTGGCAGTATCTATGTCAGTTAACCTACGTATCTTCATTACGGCATATGCTGCAGAGCTAAGTCTACTCGACAATCTATCAATATGTGGGCCCCACTGTAGTTTAGAATCTAATGTTATTCCTAAAAATACTGTGGTATCCACAAGGCCCATGTTCTTATCTTTTACATTAACATTTATATCTACTTTTTTAACATTAGGTAGTACAAATTTTAAGCATTTTGTTTTTCCTTCATTAAGGAGAAGATTATTTACATTAAACCAATGTACTACTTTAGCGATAGAATTGTTCACATCGTCATTTAGAGGTAACCCTCTTTTAATTTTAAACAAGAGTGAAGTGTCATCCGCAAACAAAACTATTTCGTGATCATCCCTTACGAAATAAGGCAAGTCATTTATGTAAATCAAAAACAAGAAAGGACCAAGTATTGAGCCCTGCGGAACGCCCATCTTAATTTTCGATCCAGGGGATCTTTTGCCATTGATATCAACCCTCTGTACTCTGTCAGTCAAGTATGAGACAATAAAATCCAATGAGTTATCTCTAAATCCATAAAAATGCAGTTTCCTAATCAATGTTTCATGAAAAACACAATCAAATGCCTTAGATAGGTCACAGAAAACACCTAACGCATCATGTGAATCCTCCCAGGCATTAAAAATTTCTTGTATTAAGTCGATACCGGCTTCGGTTGTCGAGCGACCCCTTGTAAAACCAAATTGTTGTCGATTCATAAGCTTATTCTTGTAAAAGTACGTTTGTATTTGATCCAGCATGATTTTTTCAAAAATCTTACTAAACGTAGGTAGCACGGATATAGGTCTAAAGTTAGTAGGGTCAGATGTGCTACCCGATTTATGTAAAGGAATAATTTTACTATATTTCATGAGCTCAGGAAAAATACCACAATCAGTACATTCATTAAATATATAAGCTAAGATTGGAGCTATTGTCTCAATTACCGATTTAATTTAATAAATCTGTTGATCGAAAAGAAATTCGGGGATCGAGTCGAGCGGGATCGGGAATTGTAGTTTATAAAATAATTAAACGTTATCAGGGTCTTGGAGCGGGGGCGGAGTGCGCGTGGCGCAGGTGGCGCCGGGCGAGCGGTGGGCGGCGCCGCTGTCGGCGCGGGGCGGCGCGCTGTGGGCCCGCCCCCTGCTGCACGCGCGGGGGGCCGCCGCCCCCGCCCCCGAGCCCGCGCTCGCCCCCACGCCCGCCCCCACCGCCATCGACTGGCGGGACGCGCCCTCGCACCCTGCGCTGCTGCACTACGAGTGCAGGGCGCCCCCTGACTACGTCTACAGGTGAGATACGTCGTGTTCACTATGCTAATCTATTCCCCACCTCTGTTGAGAAACTCTATCTTCCTCAGGTATAGGTTTAGTATCGATTTTCTCATATCGTTTAGCTCCTTCGAAATGCTTTAGTATCGTATGATATGTCGAGTGTGATCGGTCAGGTTCTGCTGCTCTATTATCCGGGAGCGCTTCCCTCCGGACCGCGGGGAGCCGCTAGCGGGGCACACGCTGACGCTGGTTCCGGCGCTGCGGCTGGAGAATCTGCTGCCCGTGGAGATGCAGTACCGCTGCAGCCCCTCGTCTGCTGCCGCGCCCGCCGCCGCCGGCGCCCTCGCCGCTGGACAGACGAGGCCTTTCCACGAAGTAAGATAATTCGATGCCGGTTTTCATAGCTTTAAACTTGCAAAACTGGAGTCCGTTTACAGTAAAATATATTAATTAAAACTATAATGACATTGATAATAAAAATGATAAAATGATTAGTCGCATCCCAACTAGCAAAAATATGTCGTATAGTAGTCGCGGCAACGAAAATTATTCAGCATTTTGGCTCCTAATAGAAGTCGTATAAACGTAATGAAAACGTTTATACAACGCGATTTGGGCCCATTTTATTCAGCAATTCAGTCACATAGACATCGTATAAAGGTAACTTATTCAGGTAAATCGTCACGTAATTATCGCCGGAGTGACTGTTACAAGCTTATGTTGCGCTATAACTGTAACTTATATGACTTTTATATGACATGTTTGTCTTATTGAAGCGACCTGGGATACAAAACAGCTGAAAACATTTATAGTAAATAAAATAAGCAAGTGCTTCGACGTGTTGTGTTTTAAAAATTATAATTCATCGGTAAGTACAATTTATTTAGCAGACATGTTAATTTGTAGGTTGCACCAAATGTAGGTTCGTAAACTCACGCATAGGGTTGTAAAGTATTGCGAAGGTAAGTTTTCTGAGGAAATATACTAGGTTATATCATAAATATTTAACGCCCCCCTTTAATTCTTAGTAATATGAATATAATAACAAATATTTTTATATCAATATTATTTTTGTACACCATTTTTACTGCTGACAGGCGGTATAATAGCTTCTTATACAGCAAATTAGCAGTATGAGCGCCATGATACCACTCTGATTATAGTTTAGGGTTCCTTAGAACTTCCTAAAAAGTTTTCTAAAAAAGACTTTTTGTTTGTTTTTCCATTTATTCCAGTCCATTTTCGATAACTGTAAACTACTCACAGCATTTTACACAAAACAATCTGATCGGTGTAATGGATACAATTATACGACATTTTAGGCTTGTAATAGTCGTATAAATGCGACGTATACTACATAATAGTAGTATAAAAGCAACAATGTTGCTTTTACTCGACTGAGTCAACCTTGCCATAAGAAAGCTATATAATATGCTTTTACTCGACGAAATAGTAACATAAGCGTCGTATACTAGCGACTTATTCAGCAAAATATTATATGACACTTAAGTCATATAAGGATGCTGACTAAACGTTTACTCAGCATCATTATGTGACCGAAATGCTGAATAACTCAAAAGCTATATAAGATGCTTTTATACGATACGTGCTGAATAATTCACACTTACTCGACTTTTATAGCACCGAAAAGCTGAATAAACTTTATCTTATATGACTAATTTGCTAGTTGGGATGTCGCGGTTTTGGACTGAATTATTGACGTCGCTAATGACCTTAAAAGCATAAATGTTTGTAGCGCTGTTCGGTTGCACTTCACCGAACGCGAGTATTCTATCGAAACGAAAATAGCTAGTACCCGCTGAGTTTGTCGCTGTTTCTTTTCAGGATATCCCCGCCGTGGATTTATAGCTTTCGACTTTCACGAGTGCTCGGAACGACCTAGAGTCTAGGTCCTAGACTAAATAAACCACAGAACACAGAAAAGAGGTTAGAAAGGCGATCATGCATCTTTTGTACGAAAACCAATATCGCCAGTCTTGCCTCACTTTTCGTCCGCCATACATCAAACGAAATATTAGACTAATTGGTCAAATTCAAAATATACGCACACACGTGCATTTTAAATATGCGATTTAGAACGCTCCAATATAACTATTACCAATCACGCTCAACCGTAACAGACATAGGGCGCTTGTGCACTACACTGAATTTTCAGGTCCGGCGGTCCGTTTTTTTCCGGTCCGGAATGACATGAAAAACTCGGATGAGTAGCTTGTGCACTTGTCCGTTTTTTTCCTTATCGGAGCGGCGCAGTGTAGGGCAGCTCTCTTTGAAGTTACACGTCACTTATATTAGATTTTTGGAACGTCGGTAATTCCGTTCGAAGACGTAGAAAGGTACCTAAATAATGATCTGATCGTTTTACATAAACCATAATAAATTATGGCAAGACGAATGAAGCATTTTTTTTTTACTACTATCGGATGACTACTATCAGATGTAAAAACTTATACCCTTACTGATTTAGGAACAGCATTATTCACATACAATAACTAAAAATATCTGTGACATTAGAATAAAATTACTGATAATGGTCTAGTACTTGGTGTTTAAATTTTTAAACGTGCCATTATATGCGCTGAACCGTTATTCGAGACCTAAGAGTGAGACAGCACTACTTCCGTTTCCTAGAACAGCCCTCCTCCGATACCCTCCACTACGTAACTACCGGCAGCGCAAGTGCGGTAGAAGGGATTTTTGTTTTTGCTTGTCACCGGCAGCCGTGGTTTGACTCGTCACATTGGCATCGACTTTCGTCGAGTGAACACCTCCTTATTAACAACGTTGTTGTTCGTAAAAAATTGTAGGTAGATATTACAAGTTTATTTTAAATTTTAAATATCATGAGTGGAACTCCTGAGCGGGCTTCTAGGCCCAGACAACATAATTTGTCACCAAAGCAGGCTTCTAGGCTGGGTGAACAGGAAAGAGTTACTCAGGGGGCTTCTAGACCCCGAGAAACGCATAGAGAGGCTCCCAGGCCAAGAAAGCGTCGTCTTTCGTCTACGAATTCATCGGTCAGTGATGACAGTTCGAGCACCAGTCTGTCTACGTCCTCGTCGTCAACATCCAGCGGCAGTTCATCATCTAGGCCACGGCGTCATCATAAAGAACGTAATAGGCGGCGAAAACAAAGTAAAAGTGACCGAAATTTTGAATCATTGGCGAATCAAGTGAGTACAATTATTAAATATTTGAAGGATCAGGATCAGTTCAATAGTTCACAGAACTTAGATAACGATTTAGAATTGCACCCTACCCGAGAATTAACGAGTTCATTAATTCCTAGTGAACCTCTTTTAAAAAGACCTCGATTCGATAAAAATATCCATTGTAACATCAACACTAACTTAAAAGAAGCTGCGATTGATAATGCTTCCGAATCTAGGCTAAATATTTTATCGAAATTACATTATTTCGATACAAATGATTGGGATCGCGTAAGGTATATTGACACTGAGAAAAAGTATCTTGCAAAACCTGGATTTCAAGACTTGGATGTTAATACTGAATTAAGATTTTATGATCCTGATTCTACTTGGCTAAAATCTTTAGACCGTTCTTACGGTGCTTTAACCCATGCAGTAATACAACAAAATGAGCTCTTCAAGAATAATTTACAAAATATAATAGAATGGTCTCACAAGTCGGATACTGTGTTGACCTCGGACTCATTATTTAATAAACTAAGTGAATTATTTTCTGAGAAATCACAGTACATAAAGGTTTCCGAGGACATACTTCAGCTTGTGTGTGGGAGACGAGCCGATACAATACAAAAACGCCGGGATAGCATACTATCGAGTGTTAAGGATCGCTATATTAAAGAAGATTTGCGGAAAATTCCACCTACCCTCACGAATTTATTTAATTCAGAAATAATGAGTTCCTTCTTATTAAAAGTGGGTGGTACAAGCAAGCTGTTTCATAGTAACAAGCGCTCAACGGATGAGCCCATTATGTCTTTTCAAAATAAAAATAGTATTACTCGCGCTAAGCGGCTGCGGAAGCCGGCACCACGCGAACGCAATTATGATGATGTCGAACCTGTTCCGGGTCCATCATCAAATAAAAACAATAATTATGTTAATAAAAACAAGAAGTTCGCAACAATCAATAACAAATTTAATTTGAAACATCGGGACGGTAAATTTAATAATTCAACTGGCAGGAATAGTAATGGTAGATTTCGCAAATGACTGGAGACAAAACTCGTTTTACGGCGGTTGTTTAAAAGATTACATAAACTGTTGGAAAAAGTTAAATGCGCCGAGACATATTCTAAAAATAATATCAGGTTATCGAATACCATTTTGCAAAGTACCGCCATTAATCAGTCACAAACGTTTATTAAAATATCAGACACCAACAAGTGCAGAAATGTCACGAGAAATTTTAAAATTAAAAAATCAAAATATACTAATACCCGCGCCGCCGACTCCAAGTTTTATTTGTCCGATGTTCCTCGTGAAGAAATCGGATACCAGCAACAGGCCAATATTCAATCTAAAAAACTTGAATCGATTTCTAGCTCATTTCAAGTTCAGATTAATCAATGTCAATCGGGTGCCGGATTTTCTGCAACAGGGCGATTGGGCAATAAAAATAGATCTTTCGCAGGCCTATTTTCACGTTCCACTGGCTCGCTCTCATCTGCCGTTCCTGAGGGTTTTATACCAGTCAGAGAATGCAACAGAACCGGAACTTTTACAAATCACCAGCTTACCGTTCGGCCTTTCGTCAGCACCCGTGACATTTGCGACAGTTTCCAACTGGGTAGCAGAGGTTTTACGCAACAGAGGTATGAGGGTAATCGTATACCTCGACGATTATCTGATTGTCAATCAGAGCCAAGCAATGTTACAAGAACAGGCTGCGGAAGCCGTGCAAATTCTGAATTCCCTTGGCTGGAGTATCAATTGCAAAAAGTCAGTATTGGCTCCAACCCAGACGATCGAGTATCTGGGCGTCACATGGGACCTCAGACAAAATATCAAATATATACCCGCCAAAAAGAGACTAAGAATAAAAATAAAATTGGAACAACTTCTAGGTCAAGGTCTTTGGTGTCTCAAGGATGCTCAGAGAATATTGGGAATGCTAAACTTTGCCTCGTTTGCGGTTCCCAGAGGTCGGCTTCATTGCCGCCCTTTACAAAAAGCAAGTTTTCGGCTCCAAAAAGATCAACCACTGTCGAAGAGCACAATTCAACCCCAGGTCTTGACAGAGTTCCAGTGGTGGTTAGAATCCATGGGAGCAAGTACACCGATTCATTTTGCACCCGCTGCTCACTTTCTGACTACGGATGCTTCAGGCACCGGCTGGGGCGCAGTAGTAGACGGTATTCATTTGAC